AGATACCCACTTCAGTATTTTGGTCATTTGCCTGCGCCACTAAACCAAGTAAAATTTTTGGTCCCCTTAGGAAAAACGGGCCGCTGATCTATCAGCAACATTAAAATCGCTGACAGCTGAAGTGAGTAACATTGATCATACTCAATGAATTGTTCTGCACGGAAATTCTGTGCCCTGGAACTCATGTGGATGTCAGTTTTCCACCTCCACATCCCCATCATAATGCCACTGCCATAGCAGGACAATGCGCCAGCCACGCCCCAAAAACTGACCTGGGAAAAATGAGTTCAAAGCAATAAAGAGTTCAAAGATTTGATCCAGCTTTCAAAATTTCCAAATCTCAACATAATTAAGCATTCAAGAGATGCCCTGCAGCCACATTCATGGAGGTCCCAACCTACAGTCCACATGATCCAAAGCATCAGCTGCCAAGAACCTAGTGCCAGACACCATACCCAGAGGTCCTGCGCTCTGTCCTGGCCGTCACAGCTTTTCCAGTAGTGGGTCTACAACATATTAGGCATGTCACAGTAAATGCCAAACATGTTCTGGTTTGATCTGTGAGAAATTCTTTTGCCATCTTCTACAAATAACAGAAGAAAACCTTTTGTAAGGTTTTTTTTGTTATAATCCTGAATGTGACTAGGCTGTCATGTGTTGAGCCTCACAAGACTTTTGAATTCTTGTACATTTATTGTACAAAAGGCACGGCACTGATGTGAAAGTAGGTCTTAAACTCGCATTTGCATGTTTATTTTGGGAGCCTTATTAGCATTGGCAAACATGAACATCCGGCAGAGTGGTGGGAGAAGGGGCTAGGAGGAGGAGAGCAGAGGAAATGTTTCATAACAAATTAAATTGATTCCTAAGTTCAAAACGGTGTTTCCCTACAATAATTCAAATGTTTAGAGACGATTCTGACATCTTTAGCTGTCACATGTTGGAAAATATCCAACCGGCTCTGAGGCCCTGGAGGTCTGGAAGAAAGCATGACATCAAACAAGGCAGCGATCTTTAAACCTTTCCTTTTTTCTGTATTTTAGTGGGAGAGGTCACAGTTCTCAGATCAGGACACTGATCTGACTTTCCTTGAAGGGCTGATCGATCAGCAGCAGCATCTCCAGCACCTTAAACCTGACTGTGAAACGCCAGCCTCGTATATTTATTTATCTATTTTTCTTGTTTTCTGCAATGTGCGAATTTACTTTCGTGAACAATATCTGTAACAGGAAGAAGGCAAGAAGATAACTATGTATAGACTATAAGACGAAGATGATGGAATAGCAGCATCTTTATGTGTCTTTGTTTGTTTGTGGGGTTTTTTCTTTTTAGCTTTCAGCTGGTTGTTATGGTTTAATCCTCAAAAAATAAAACTGCGGGCCACCATTTTCAGCAAACAAGCTCACACAAGCTTATTGTACACTACAACTTCAGCATGAAATGACTGAGTAGAAGATCAAACGTAAACAAATAACTTAACAAGACATAAATGCAGCCACACGGTTGAGGAATCTGTGCATTAAACAGGAAAGAAAGTATTTGTAAATTTTGGATTAACATTTGTTGTCACAAACAATGGGATGTTCCTGCTGTGAATATTTAAACACACATTTGCTGTATTTCATGTAACTTTCTGTATCATTATAAGTTAAAAATTATATTCACTTTTCTTAAAATGCATTTTAAAACATCTGATTTCAACTTCAACTTGCAAATTTTGTCTTTATGTCACCGCGCTGCTTTGAACTTGTCATGACCCCCCCAAGAGCTCAGAAATCACCTTATGCAGCTTTAACGAAGAATGGGAGTTTTCATTTATTCCACATGACTTCCTGCAAGCTTTGATGTAATTTCTGTCTTAGATCAGAAGCCCACTTGGATGCCCCTCCCAGTAGCAATATCATTAAAACACAATCCACTTGGCAGTGATTTATTTATTTATTTATTTTTTGAGTGAAATGATCATATTTTTTTCTGACTTACTGCTTGGACTTCTCTCTGGAAAAAAACAACAACCTTTCAATAAAAGTACTCACAAACCTGTAATCATTCTTTCACACAACAGGCACTCCGCTGTGTCTCTAGGTCAGGCCCTCCAGTCATTCCTGAGTCCTATATTCATCATTCAGCTGTCGCTAATTATAGCCCAGAGTGTAGTTGCAACAAGTCTTCAGGGTGTCTTGATGCTGTCACACAGGTGACATGCTCGAAATTATTGTAGCTGCCACAATAATATGACATGAAACACACACTGCATTGAGCTTGCATCATTTAATAATTCCCAGCATCAGCTGTATACTTTTTTTTTTAAGTTAACACAACTTATAATTACACTATCAACTAAACTGCCAGTGTATTCTGAAATAAGAATAATTTTACATTTAAACACTTTCTAGTCATTTCCTATGAACATTATGCTTGTTTTATTTCATATTTCATATGTTATATTTTACAATACATTGACTATTGAATATTTGGCTAAAACCTGATACAGAAATTTGCAAATTCGTCAAATTCTGTAGCTGTTTAACGTCTTAACAAAATGTTATCAAGAATCACTTTTTTTTCTCATTTACGGAAAACCTTTTAACTAAAGCAGCATCTTGACTCTCTACCTCAGTACTCAGTGAAATTTCGTGACATGTACATTCCAAAAATCCAAATAAATGTTAGGCCCTCACTGAAGGCGGTTCTGACTATGAAACGGGGATCGACAGCTGCCTGTTCCAGCTCAAGACAGCCTTCACCAGATTTGCAGGTCAGATGGGTGTTGAGACGCAGCGAGAAGCAGAATGTGACAGGATATCCACACAGAAGCTGTGGGGAGAGTGATGGAGGGCTTCTGCAGGTTCACCTGTGCCTTAACAAGATTTCTCTGGGTCCTATGGAAGCCTTGTCACAACTTTTTTCCCTCTAGGTAGATATTGATTGCCAGAGGCTCTCCTTTGGCACAGCTGAACTGAACAAGTAAGTTTGGACTTTGCAGATATTTAAATCACAGAACAAAGGACGGCATCGTTGCAAAAAAATGAATTATGCTCAGTAACCAATATCCAGTAATGGGTCATTTAAAGCCAGAACTGATATTTAAATCAGACTTGATTAACCACCCACATTGACTTTTTATAGCCAGTTTATGTTTTTTTTCCCCTCGTAAAACATTGTATGTTCTGTTTTGAGAACACCAGTCAATTCTTTAAATTTAGCTTCCAGGGAGCCAGACTTTCTTGTAATAGTTTAAAGTGGACTAGAGCAATAATTCTCCAGGCTTCCTAAAGATCTTTCAGAGTTTGTTCTTTGACCATTTTCAGGTTTTTGTTGTTCATTTGTTAAATCACTTAAACTAAACTGTTAATCATTCAGGCAGAGAAAAGGTACCTAACTCCAAGGATGAACCAGCGTTTTATATATAACAGACAACAAAGAAGCCATTTTAAATTGTAACTTTTGGCACTTTGTTACTAGGAGCCTGCCACAAAAACACATAATTTGTCCCAATTTCAAAATGGCAAAGATAACACACTTTGGCAGGCATAATTTTTTTTGCTTCAATAAGGTGACTCCCAGACAGCTGTTAGCTAAAAACGTGGCATATCTCAACACTATTTGGAGTGAGTCCTTTAAAAGATTTAGGGAACTTCGGGACAAAAGAAATGGCAGCCCTAAAAGAAAGTCACAGGTATGGCACATTACAAAAGAACTGGACTGAAAAATCAGACACAGCAGGTCTTACAGACTGCTAAATCCAAACTGTGTCCAACAAGTATGGAGGATGTCAGGAGTGAGGGCGGTGCAGCCATCTGGAGTTGCATTTTAGTCAATAGTTTTGAGCATTTTTTCAAATTGGAGTTATGAATGCAGAAAAGCAGATTTTGATCCACTATGCAATGGAAAGCTTTCACTGTCGACGGCTTCTTCTTACAAGAGGAGTGGAATGTCCTTCAAGAAGAATAGTTCCTGAAGCCTACTTAAAGAAATTACAAGAAAGCTTGCCGAAGAGAGCTTTGTTGGAGAAGAAAGGTGGTCATTCAAGTTTGTTAGAACTGTAGAAACTCTGTTTTGTGTGTGTGTGTGTGTGCAGATAGATCAATAACCTGCTTCACCTGTGGAAATAGAAACAAAGAGGTGGCTCAAGACTTCTGCACAGTACTGTATAAACAAGTGATACTTTTTATCTATTACAAATGTGAAGCAAATTAATTAAACTGCATGAGAGAGACACACAGTAGATGCTTTCTGATGCAGGTGAATAATTGTTAATGTCAAAGGCATTAAAAATACCCTGGGGCTGCATTGATTTCCTCAATAAGTTTAATTGAGTTAATTGACACCAGTTTACTTATTCCTGTCTGGTTACATGATGTGTCAAGGGTGTACTTGCTTGCTACCTTTATTTATTCTCTTGTGCAGTCACAGAGTGAGTGTCAGGCAGAGTAAAACAAAAGGAATACAGCAAAGATGATCATGTCACAAACGAAAGGCAAAAAAAGAAAAATCAAGGAAAAAATCAATTTCTTTCAAGTGAGATCAAAGAAGGATATAACAAGAGCTGCTTCTTAACACTTACCATTAAAATGTGGTGCAGACTGAGGGGCCATGTCAGACAAAAAAATTTTTCCAAGCTTAATACGGAAGGAGAAAGGCATTTTATAAGATTGCTATCATCATTGCTACTTTTGTCAGAGCAAAGTGAAGACAGAGGTTTCGTCACGTTCACTGCTCCGTGGTTGAATCTGCAACTTTTTTTCAGACAATTAGCATCTGGTTCAGCTAAAGTATATCCGATCCCTCTTCTAGTGGTTCAGGTGATAACAGATCTTAATTTATTGTGCATTTGCACATTGATCTTCCCGTTTCATGGGTTTCATCACTTCCAGAACTAATTTAGCTGGACTGAGTGAAAACGAGTTGAGACTAGTGAATGAATTGTTGATGGATTGGGGGGGGACAAAGAGCGTTTCAGTGCCGAGACAGAAACACGGTGCAGCCTTAAAACTCACCTGCAGTGTCTGTGAACCCCAGCCACGGTTTCAATGATCGAACACTCTCCCTCGTTCAGACAAAAGGCTAGGTCCTTGTCTTCCACACATGGCTTGAAGACCTCCGAACGAAGGCTGGGATGTGTTGGGGCGAGCGCTGAAGAAAGACAAGAGGAAACCAATTTAGTTCAAATTGAACAGTTTTATATATTTAAAAAAAAATCCTCTCATTCTTTAGCAACTTAAATCAACAGGAACATTTTTCTAAACTTCTTTCATGTGAAGCGGCAAATGTCATTCAGCAGCGATTTACTTATTTGTAATGAAACAACCACTCTTGTTAGATTGGAAGAGAAGATTTCATTCCTCGCTCCCTTGCGAATCTCAGTGGGCTAAAAGCAAGATAGCCCAGGGAATGATTGTGTTTTATTAAAGACTGATTAAAATTGGTGTTTTCAGCTTGAAGAGACAAAGAGAGGAAAGTAATGATGACTGAATTAACACTTGCACTGTTTTTGGTGTATGTGCTCGCATCATTATTAAATACCATGTATTATGCCTGCTTTTTTGTTTCAAATGAAGCCGTTTAACCACAACTTCTAAGTGAAATTCCCGTTCTGCTGCTTTAGTAAACATAGCTGAAAAACCCGGGAATATATTAACGAGGTAAGGCAGAGAGATGTGAATACGTTAGCGCTGCGCTACCCAGAGACAAAACACAGAGTGATGGGCTTGGTGATGCAACTTTGATTTTCTTCTTCTAGTCTGACCCTGAGCTGCTCTCACATAAAGAGCATGGCTGCTGTGTACGAGCACCGCAATGCAGGGTTCTCCACCCTGTGAAATATGCACAGCTGTCAGACATGTCAGCACCACAACTATTACGTGCAACCACGTGCAAAATTTGTCCAAACACTATCAGAATTACCCAAGCACACATGTGTGTGCACAATGACACAGAGCACTGGCAATTGGATTGACTAGTATTATACCCCAATACCTTGCCAATACAACTGGATTACTCATCTGATTCTGCTTTCATCCATTTATGTGGTGCACAGACACACCTTTTTAACACCATGTTCTGGTAATTGTAATTCCTTTTGTATGAAGCTCCCACATCTTTCATGCCTGATCCTCTGTACGCTGTGCAGCACGCTTTGGCTGGCAAGTGGCATTTTTACAGCTGTGCCTCTAGTCACCATGCGCACACGGAGGGCTAAAAACTTGATAATCTGTTTGTTGTGCCCCAGTGTCCAGTTCAATCGATGTTTTGTTTATGGCTATTGATTGATAAATCTGGGGCTCTTGATGTAAGGCCCAAGAGCTGATGAGAGATCAGAGAGAACACAAAGAGATATGTGTTGCTCCTGAGGCTACCCGAGACTCTTCTATGTCAGAGTAAAAACTTTGGAAGACATTATTTAAACTACTTATTGTGGCGGTTTAAATGTAAACTCTTTAGTAGTAAAAAATACCACTGGTATCTTATAAGGTAGACACAAACACAGTAGAAAAGTAAAACATTTTTTTACTCTACAAAAGTAGGCCTCAAACCAAAGCTGACTCTTTCACTCTCTAGGCTTTAAAAGACACAGGGATTATATGGTGTATTATTAATTCCACAAACTCCCAGAGTGAATCATTAAAAGGTTATCTATTCAAAGATGTAACTTTATTAATAGAAAATAGAACACAACGTCCCCCTGTGGTATGCACATCCCTCACAATAATTGTCACGGCTTTTAAAGCCTCCTGGATATTTTATTCAGAAAGCAGCAGACAGTGACTACACGTGAGAAGTACCACAATTGATATTCAAAGACAACACCCACTATGCCAGGTCAGTGGTTCAGCTCTAAGCATGTGAGGCAGAGGGTTCCAGCTAAAGAGGAAATTGATTTTGTGCTGTAAGGCTAACC